CAGGTAACTTGGTTTAAACAGAAGTAGATATGAATCTTAAGAATGTTTATCACCTAAAACTTTGAAACACAAACTCAATTTCCTATTGCCATTATATTGCTTAAATGAAATGCTAATATTTTGTATAATCGAGTTTTTAAAAAATCATTCTTAGAAGAGAATATTGTAACAAAGGCCTGTTGGTCAAAGTTAGACAAAAGGATTGCTATGTTTTTACTTTTTTTCATTTTAGTGGCTAGTAATACTAGATAAATAATCAATTTATATCAGTACCAAAAAAATACATAGATATATGTTCTGCTGAAGCAAGCATAGCATTATGACATAAGTGAACCTTTACAAATAGTCATTATTCTACAGCTTCATTTAATGCTATGGCTCTTCCTGACATGCTTTTTGTTTTGTTTTAAAAAAACATTTCTCTCACTATAATACCTCCAAATTTAACAAGACTATCAGACAGAGTTTATAATTGCACTTTTTAATATTCATCTAGAATATAACAATAAATGGGAAAACTAAATTTTTTCCAAGGAACATTATAATTCATCTTTATTTTTATATGAACAACTATTAATTTAGGAATATGTATTTCTCTTTTTAACTTGGATGTTCATCAGGAAAATATAAATATAAAATATGACACTGTTGATATCTGTTGCTTATAATTATTAAACAAAAGCAGAAATACAGTTTTAAGTATATAATAATTTGCATTTAAGATAATAAAATAGTATGAAAGCAAACGTAAATATTTAGGTAGGTGTATTTGTTTTAGAAGGAAAATGTTACAAAGTGTAACAAAACTTCTCACTGTCTTTACTCATGTGATTTACTTTCATGTTTAGACATTTAACATTCCCCAAATTTCTAAGCAATATCAACACATTTCAGAATTGCAAATATATTCTATTTTTATTTAAAGCAAAAGGAAAGAACAAAGGAAAACCCAGGCCACCACTGTGCAGGACGGAGGAGGAAAAGACCATTTCCAAAAATCATATATCAAAAGTCATATATCATAACTGTGGTGAGGCAGGGGACAGTAGCTGTAGTGCTGCTACATTAGGAATCATGTTCTTCCAGACCCAGAAATTCATGCTAGCGCAGCACATTGTACAGCATAAGTGCTATTATAATATTATAAGGCAAAATCCACTATCTTTTTGCTGCCAGAGGCTGGTTATTAGTGTTTAAACCTTTGAACAGAATGACAGTTTTATACCCCTTAAGCAAACTAGAAATGATAGTAACTTAGCTGACACCTCCCCCACAGTTGGCCTTTCACTCTCTCCTTCCTATTATGCTATCCCCTTGAGCATTCCTGGAGGGAGTCTTGGAGAGAGTCAGAACATTTGCCACACATCGTGTGATGAAGTTTCAGGCATTTGGAAACCCTGGGATGAAAGTTACAGGCTGGTTCTCTGCTTTCACCCTGCCATTGACAGCAAACAGACAAGCTCCTAGTCGGAACTTGGATCTTGCCCAGACAAAAGACACGAAATATTATTGGGTATGACAACTGTCACCTTCCATTCTGTATTCTCTTCTTCACGAAGGAAATATTTTATCCAATATAAAAGGGTTTTAGAAAATTAAAAATCTAGATCCTTTTCTTCACTGTTAGAATGCTGTCATAAAAGTAGCATTTAATGATTTGACTGACACTAGGTAGAGGATGGAAAGTTTCTCTGAAAGTTGCTATTATCTTGCTTCTGAATTATTATGTTTTAAAATTTATACAGATCAATTTAGCATTGGTATGGCTGAGCTGAATAAATTTCATGTAACTAGGAAAAACTCCTTGATAGTCTCTATCTATGCCTGAGTTGAATTTATTTATTTAACCATCTATTCTGCAGATCATTTTGCATGATAGGCTTGTATCAGAGAAGAGAAGGTAAGGCTATGCTGCAGTTTTAGATAAGCCCCCGAATCTAAACTGCTTAACATAGCAGAAGTATATATTTTTGCTCATAGTCAGCTAGGAGACCAGGTAATCTTCCTGAGCAACATTCGCTCACGCTAAAAGTTCCCAATAACTCACACAGTCCTCACATGCTTTGTGGACCATGTCACTTCCTTAGTGGATGTACCAGAATCGGCTGTTCTTCTCTGTTTAGCCTGGAATTAACAAGTCGTTTCCACTCATGACCCATTGCCCAGACTTCGGAATAGCTGTTTCACTTCAAGATGTTTTCAGGGCATCAGCGGAGGAGACAGAGTTGCATCCCGATGAAGAATGTACCTGTAATGCCTACTCAGGTCTGAATCTCTGTATCTCTTCAGTCAAGGTAGAGAGCAGAAATAAAGCTGTGTATTGGAGAGAAAAGAGGATAATTTAAAAAAGTTTTTCTTTAGGTTGAAGAGGCTATTTTGAGAAGACATTACTATTAATTGTAAATTACCCCAATGTAATCACTTATTTCAAGTTGGAGGGCTGGCAACTGCCATTGTGTTGAAGGTGTTGGTCCCAGAAGCCCGACCTTTAATCCTTCTTTGTGTTTACCTGCGTCCCAGAGAGTGCTTCTTAAGGAAATCTAAGGATTTCTTGGCATAGGAACACTCACAATGAAACTGTAATCTAAATTTCTTCAGCTGCTATCTCTCACTGTGTTCCCTACAGTGAAACTACTTTAATACTTGAAGGCTTTTTCTTCCTTGCCTTATTCTATTCTTGACTACAAGAATTACATACATTCTACCCTCTTGATTAAACTGATTCTTCTCAATTTAACAGATACTTTTTTCTTGGCATAGGAACACTCACAATGAAACTGTAATCTAAATTTCTTCAGCTGCTATCTCTCACTGTGTTCCCTACAGTGAAACTACTTTAATACTTGAAGGCTTTTTCTTCCTTGCCTTATTCTATTCTTGACTACAAGAATTACATACATTCTACCCTCTTGATTAAACTGATTCTTCTCAATTTAACAGATACTTTTTGAATTATGAAAGCAATGCATTCTTTTTGTTTATATAGGTATATGTGCATGTATGTAAATATCTTTAAACCTTTCCTTAAAGATAAGCACATTTAAATTTTATGCTAACATCTATTCCAGTTTTTTATTTATAACTTGAATACACATAAAGGTGCTATTAAATTAATTTAATATTATTTTTAAAGAATATAATGATTCAAAATCAAACTTACATAAATATCACAAAATAAAACCACATTCCATAGAGGAACAACAAAACAGAAAATGAAAATGTTGAAAGCAGCCAGTTACCAAGTAGAAATTCAAACATGTTCATAATAACATGGAACAATACCAACTCCCCCCAAAAATACAAGGACAGTCTATCATACTGAAAATAAGACTCTCTCCTGCTATATACCAAAGCATAAAGTTAAAAATTAAATTTATAAAATTAAAACAAACATTTAAAGTACATTTAAAGTAAAATCATAGAAAAAGCTATACCATCCAAATATAGAAAATGTCAAAGACAAAGAATCCTTTCATAATGATAAAAGTGTACATGCATCAGGAATATGTAATAATTATAAATTTATACACAACTAACAAAAAAATCCCAAAATATATGAAAGAAAAACAAATAGAATTAAGACGATAAATACAAAATTCTGGAGAATTTTATATCTCACACTTAATAATTTATATAATTGCAAATAAAATCAACAAGGACATAGGAGACTTGAAACATACTATAAAACGAGTGACTGAACTGATATTTATAAAAACATTCCACTCAGTAGCACAACTTACATTCTTCTGAAGAAAACATGTATGTAAAAAAAGAAAAAGAAAATATGTAACTTTCTCGCAAGTAGACTGACCATGTGATAGGGCATTCTATTATTAAATTTCTAGATTTTATGTACTATAGAAAGTAGAGAACTAAAATTTCCATACCATTAAATTGCATATTTCTTCCTTTGATTCTGTTGGTATTTTACTTTATGGTTCTTTGTTAGATACATGCATGTTTATAATTATTATATTTCCTTGAAAGACTCACTGTGTTATTATACCACATGTACCCCTCTTTTGCTCTAGTCACACCATTTTGGTGAAGTATATTTTGTTTATTGTTTGCAGTCATTCCAGCTCTCATTTTCCACTTCATGATGAATCTTTTTCCATTTTTGAAAAATGTTCAAGGTATTTGTATTTTCAAATTTAAAGTGAGTCCTTTCAGGATATAATTGGATCACTTTTTAAAATCCATTTTGCTAATTTGCCTTTTGTTAGAATGCATAATCTATTTATATTAATCTAATTACCAATAAACTTACATCTGCCATTTTCCTGTGTGTTTTCTATATTTTTGGTCAATTTCTAATTGAATAGATTTTTTTCTAGTGTGCCATTTTAGTTGGCTTGTTATTTTACTAGTTTCTAAATTATTTTCTTGGTGTTTTACAAGGACTGCAATTAAAATGATTAGCTTACAACAAATTAATAGGAAATTAGTGTCAACATTATATAAAAATTGTTTCAGCATAGTTTTGTTCCTTCCTCCTTTCTATTACTATTATTTAAACTACATTTCAAGTACCAAACATTTTTTCTTCCTTATACAGTGTTCTTTTTGATCAGACAAAAGATAGAATTATAAATAAAGTTGCATTTATGCCATTTTTTATTTACTTATATAGTTGCCCTAGTACTGCTCTTCATTTGATTATGTGGAAATGAGTTACTCATTGGTTTATCCATGTCAGCCTAGAGGGTAGCCTATTACCTTTCTTGTAAAGTAGGTCTGTTAGAATTCTTCCTTTCATGTAAAAAGGAAAACATGTTTTAATTTTCCTTTATTTTTAAACGTGAGTTTTACTGAATTACAGAATTCTTGATTGACATTCTTTTTACTTCCACTCATAAATTTATTGTTCCTTTTTTTTGTTTTTCATTATTTCTTTTTTATTTTTTAAAATGAGATAGAAAAAATTACTAACTGGCACATGTAGCAATTGAGTTATTGCTCTACCTAAAATGCAGCTCTCCAGAGGAAGAAGGCAGTGGTGAGTATCGTGATGTATCACAACAGAGGCACGGATGTATCAGCAAATGCTGTGGACGGATTGTTATCTGAAGGACTCTCTCATCCATAGATTCCTCAAACCTGGAGAAGATCCTGAACCTAGTCAGGACCCTGAGGAGACATGGTGAGAAATGATGGCCATGATTAATGAAGTCATTTATCCTTCTAAACTAGGGGAATGATGGCTTTGAAATAAAAATTGCCCTCTTTTGTAATCATTTGTATACTATGAATTCATTTGGCTTCAACATGAAAGCCACCTATGCTTTCCACCAGCTCTTACAGATCATCTTCTCACAGGTCAGCTGCAAAATTGAAAGGTATTCTTCAAGCTGGCCATTGGAGCATCCATACCTTTTTCTATATAAAGGAAATACAGTTACTCTATCCATTTATAGCCCATTATATATTAGTAGAAGAATTCTTTTGTAGCATTATGGTGTAGCCTGAAGGTACTCAACAATCTGTAACAGATCACTATAGATTACATATTTAGCATGAACATAAGAAACCTAATGGGAAACAAGACAAGTATTGGCTACTTGTAACAATTCCAATTGGTCATATACCAAGTACCAGGAAGCAACATTTCTGGGTCAGATTTCTTAAAAGTGTGGACTCCAAGATTAGAAAAAATGGTCTTACATCTATCTTTCCACTTAATATCTCTCTAATCTTGCTTAAACCTTTTCAATTTATTTTCCTCATTTGTGAAATGACACTAATAAAAGTTACACCATTTATTTATGTGTTGAGTTTCACATTGAACAGAAATCTATTGAGGACAGGCCTGATGTTCTTCTGGGTAGCGATGACTAGTAGGATTCATGGAGATGTGACCTAGCCTAACCTCTGGCACAAATTAAATGTTCAACAAGGAGTAGAGGCTACTTGAAAAAGTGTTTTTGTTTTTATTATTACTTTCAAGAGCTGACAGATGGTAAAAAGCCAAATGAGCCATATCAGCTAGATACTGAATGAATACACCAGTTTCTATGCCAACTAAAAAAAAAACAGACATCAAATTCTTTCAAATAATTACTAAGTCTTCCTGTAACTATCTTGCTTTTTTTTGTTTTGAATACTCTCTTTTAAGTAATAACTTCCATTACTTTACCTGTACTTTCAGTCACCACTGTTATGGAACTGTAAACATTAAATTTTACTTTAGGTAATAGAATGCTCTAACAACATTAACCTAAACAATACAGATAATTAATTTTTTTAAATAATAAGAGGTATTGATGGTACGTTTGGAGCAGCTCAGTGAGGTTACAATGATCCAGGTTCTTTCAGTCTTTCCTCTCTTCTCCTTAGTGGATTTGCAGCATTTCCACACATGGTTGCAGTAGGACTCAGGATTCTAAGACTCAGACCCTTCCATAGTAGCATCCTAGGTAGAAAACAAAAGGATGAAGACAAAAATAGAGAAAAGAATGTGTTCCTTATCATATCCACATCTTTAAAATCATCCCACTTTCACTACTACTTCCACTCTAGTTTGCCCATAAATAAATTACATGTGCAATTCTGCTAAACATAATTTTCCCTCGGGGTGTTTTACATCATCATCTAAACTATACCGGCATTCTCTTAGCAAGGAACATAGACAAAATGCTTTTCGAGTTGTGACATAGAGCCTACCAGATGCTGGTGGTTAGTTATTTCCTAGACAAAGTATATTCTGTGCATTTGGGCTCCCACTTCACTGTCATGGTCATCTGGTGGCATAAAGAATGCCCTAAAAGTGGTTGTTACACTGTGTCTTTTCTCTGACTCATGGACACTAATAAATCATGATGGAGCCTCAGGACCCTTGCTTAACTGCTTCAGAAGCTCAGCTCCCTTCTTCCTTTACTCTCTTCCTTTCATCAGGTGCTGACCTTCATCTTTTGTAATCTCTCTTTTAAAATCACAAGTTCTTCAAACCACACCTTCCAACATGAAACCCTCTAACCAATCTGATGTCCCCTGCTGGACAAAGTTCTCTAGAAAAGATTAATTTTGGAAGCCTGATGGGAATATCAAGTGCGGGATCTGGCGTATCCAATATTTATTCTATTTCTGCCCTTCACATGGTATTTTCTTTTAGGTAAACTCAAATATTTTCTCTAGCCATGCTCATGAAATGTCATAAGAAGTCCTTTTTCTGCCTCACCCCCAGACTTCCTCTGGTTCTCTGTGTTTGTCTCTGCATTTTCCCCTTGACCTCAGAAGTCCAAGCAGAGTAGGAGTTGACAGAGTCACTCTGTGCCTGGTAAGAATTGAGCTTTTTTGGCAAGCCTTGAGAAATGGATGTATTGTAGGTTTTACTTGCCAATGGCAAGAGGAATTTATTGATCATAGGTAGTAGCCAATAACTGGGGGAAAAGTCAGTAGCTGTAGCGTTGTGGAATATTGAAAGGCTGATTAGCCACAGAATTTTCTGCTCTTCTGGTAGTAGCAAAATCATCAGATTTTTTAAAATCGAATGAAGACTCTACATACTTATATCTCTCCTGAGAGCTTTCAAATTTTGTGCTTAGTTAACAATCTAAGAAGTGATTAAAATTTCTTTACTATTGTTCTAAGAATCTTGAAAATGATATCACCTAATGTATAAAATTTGCAAAATCCCCAGATATTTACTTAGGCCAGCACATCTTTTTCGAAGCTCTAGTGGTTACAGTAATCATTGTTTCACCGTTGAATTACTCACTTTGGCCATTTGTCAGTTGCTGCATTTATTCGTAATTTTAAGTACCCTGAAAGCATTGTTAGTACCTAGCTTGAATTTTTAGAATGGGATTCTGCAAACTGTGACAAGAATCAGTATATCTAGTTGCCAAAAATTTAGCCTGATTCTCTCTACAAGTGCTACCCAGGCATGTATTGATAATAGTAAATTTAATGGAAACCAAGAGCAGAAAATATTAATAATCAAGACATGAATTTGGTATAATTTCTTACATGTTTTATCAGAATTTACTATTATTTCTTGCTGTAGTGTGAAATTTTTTACTGTCATAGTAGAATTGCCAGAGCCTCATGGAAAACAATATATATGCATAACTAAAGACATTTATTTAATAAAGTAATTTGGAATCTTCATTAGATTCTGGCTTCTGTGGGAGCAATTGTATGCAGTGAAGTCATTCTGTCTAGACAAAATCTATTTGATTTTCTAACCCCAAGTCGAACAAATCACTTATCTAGAGATCTAGGTTTGTTCTACAATATCCAGTATGGTTAGTTGCACCTGGGCAATTTTGACTTGACACAACCATGTATTCTAACTTCATCTCTACCTTGTTGCCATTATGATGACAATTTAGCCCAACATCTAGGCTATCTAGAAATTTGATAATGTAATCTTGTTAGTTAGTTGATGTTTTTTTTTTTGACATCTGTCTTGATACATTGTGTTACTTTTGAAATTGGCACTAACTGAATTAAAATATATTTTTACATGGTTACAATAAGATGGAGGTTTAAATGGTAATAAAGATATTCTTAATATCCATTTAGTTAACAAATGTTTTGATGTAGGAATTTAAATATCATGGAAGAATATTGAGCTGATGTACAAAAATAATACCTAAAGTGAATGAAGGTAACTATATGTTTTAATGATTATAATTTATTTTCATGTTATACATTACAATGTGGACATTACTGTAGCATTCTGAAATTGTCAACTCTTGTTTTTGATGTGTTTTAATGAAGCCAAGACTTTAAACGTTTTTTTTCATAAGGAATGATTCTAGGAAGATTTTGTCCACACATGAAGCTGCTGTCAGTAATTTGCGGTCCACATTGCAAAGGTTTAATTTTCTGCTTAAGATTTTCTAAAACTCTATTTTTATGCACTAAAACAAGTTTTTCTCAATATTTTTTTCTATCATGAGAGTTTGGTGTATATGTATGTCTTTTCCCAAGTCCATTTATTTATTTGTGTGCTATTGTTTTCAGTTTTATTTGTTGTTGTTCCCTAATATTTGGAAATTAGATTCTTCCTAATTAAAATTATATATAATGTACAGTGATTTTTAAATCATATTTCCCAAGCATGAAGTGGGACCATGCTTCTGAGGAATATAATCAAATTTCAGCATTCTTTTGCCTTTTCACTTACAGTGTATTTGATAGTTTTTACCCATCTCACCGATATTCAATATTTAATATTTGTTGATTTTATTTTGTTCTGTTTGACAGAAAAATGTATTTGACAGTTATTATTTAAGAAAGTTTTATATTTTAGGTCATGGATTTGAGGTAGTGTTAGTTTTTCTGGTAGGAGAAGGAAAGATAGTGAATAGTAGAATCAGACAAGCTTGTCAGAATTTGCCCACTATTTATAATCTCCACAGGCTCACTGAAGATTGAAGTACTATATTTAGATGTCAGTAATATCACTGCCACATTTTAATATTATTCTCCAATTGGATGTGAGTACAATAGAAATTAACATATATTCAATGCTGCTTCTTACGGTAGATTAAAGGCTTTCTGAATGCTTCTTATAATTTAATCAAAATATTTCAAAAATAATTGTATAAAGTATATTTTATATTGCAAATTTCTATTTATATCATTGTAGCAATTACTAAGGTAATATGAAACCATAAATATTGATTATCAGATTACTATTTTAGTTTATGGAGTTATCACCTAATCTAGACGATTGATAGTCAAAGCAATATTATTTTTATTCAGTATGCTGTTAAATCATCTTTTGCTAAATAGCACCTTGATTTTTTTGCATCCATAGAATTAAGTTTCCAATTTTTTCATAACAAGACATTTGATAATTGAATTCTATTCTTTTGTTTTGTAGCATAGTAGCGTTGGAAGACACAGACAATAGTCCAGTGCACAGAATCAAATGTAGTATTCTTCACTTATTTATTCCAAAAGAGGGCAGCAGAAGGCTGTTTTACATAAATCTTCTTATGTGTGCTTATGTCTTCTGGTCAGTGTTTGTTTTTGAATAGACCAGATCACTTTTAAAATATTCTATGCCTTTCTTCCACCCAAAATAAAAAACAAAAAGAAATACATGACAACAGAAATTGCTGTGCAAATATTTAGAGGGAAGAAAACCGTGTTCATAACTAAAGTAGGACATTTAAGATGTCAAAGGGCAAAAGTCTTTTAGATGCTATGGTTTTCTTTGTCTCACTTTTATCAAATTCCATTAAAACTGAAATAAAACTGTTTTCTCATTCATTTATTCTGTGTTCCTGCCACTAAAATACATATCACTGATAATTTTTATTGGACTTACATAAAGCATGAACATTGCTTTGTGCTATTAAATGATTAATAATTTTTAATAGAGTGAATACAATTCTAAACAAAATGTTGGCAATGAAATGAGGAAAACCTTTTGACTGAGAAATTAGGCAAATGTCATTTAGGTGCACTGATGCCCAGTTTAATGCTAATTTGCAGCACGCTTGTGCATTCTCACTGTGTCGATTCTCTCCTAAAATAAACATTCAGACCTCAACTGGCACCAAAAGAAACAGCAGAAGATTTATTTTTTTCTCTTACTCACATTTTATGCCTCAAATTCCTATTCTTCAGCTTTTTGAGAATTGTCCTTTTCAATAAAATGGCTAACTTAAAAATATATTGAACATGTAGTTAGTTAGCTTCCTAATCTTCAGGTTGAAACTAATGAAAAGTGGGAAAATGAGAGGTGCAAAAATCAGAAAATGATAGCTGTCTTTGAGTTTCTGAGGAGAACAAGAATTGTACATTCATGGAGTGATACTTTCAGAGGAATGGAGTTCAAGATTGAAAAGGGAGAGCATTGTGCTGAAGTACTGTAGTCTTCTTGACCAGGGTAACATATGCAGTTGCCCATAATGTCAATAAAATGAAAAAAAATTACATATTAAAAATTCTATTATTGATTTAATTTTTATTTTTACTTTACCAGTATTTTAAAATAATCTTTTATTTTATAACTAACCACATCCCATTTACTCATAACATAAAAATTGATCCACAGACTGAACAGCTCCTGCTTCAAGTATTGCTTACAAAGTGATGGTATGCTACCTAGCACATAGTAAATATTCCTCATTTTTAAACTATCATCTTTTGCCCAGACTTAGATGTTCACTTTCACAACTCACCTTGCAGAGTGTTTCTTGACAATTATGTAGCACGTTAGTGAGAAAGAACGAAATAGAATAACTGTGAGGTGGCAGGTGTTTTTGCACAGCCTGAAGCATGTATAGTTATAGAAATCACTTATTGAGTACATATTATAAGAAGCGAGGCCATGGGAATGGGGAAAAATATGAACCAAGATAGATTATATAAAGGTGCAAATTTCCAATGATGAATGCCATTATACTGTATACCTAAACTGTACCAATAAAATTAATTTGAAAAAAAATA